AAAAAAAAAAAGAGCTCTGGACACACAGAATCCAGGACAGATAAACCCCTCGGGACCAATAATGAGAGTAGTGATGCGGTGAGAGTAAGAAGGAAAGTGGGGGGGCAGGGGGAGGGGGAGAAATAGGGAACCAATCGCAATGATCAATGTACAACCCACACACACACCCCAGGGGGACAAACAATAGAAACATGGGTAAAGGGACACAGTGGACAGTGTAAAATATGAAAATAAAAATAATTTATAAATTATCAAGGGTTCATGTGGGTGGGAGGATGGAGCAGAGGGGGAAAAAGAGGAGCTGATACCAAGGGCTCCAGTAGAAAGAAAATGTTTTGGAAATGATGATGGCAACATATGTACAAATGTGCTTGATACAATTGATGTCTGGATTGTTATAAGATCTGTAAGAGCCTCCAATAAAATAATTTTTAAAAAAAGACTTCCCAGGAAAGCTGTTTACCCTGAATAGTTGAAAGGGTTTCTGCTTCACTTGTAGCCAGTGGAAACCAGGTTTTAACCTCTCTTTGTAGAGCCAACCTCAACATTCAGACTTCGAGTGAAGCCAGGTTTCCCAGAAGGAAATGATTGGTGATCCCAAGATTTGGGGTTGGTAGGTCCATGATGACTTAAATCCCAGGTTACCAACCTTGCCTTCTTGGTGTACTCTAGTGAGCTCAACACACACTAGAGCATGCTCAACAATGGCTCTGCCCACCCTCGTCAGTTGCAGGCTCTTCACTGTGGTGCCTGGGACGCACCCTCTTCAATTGTCTGCAGCAGGCTCTGGGAGCAAAGAGAACTGTTTCACTTGAACTCGAATGAGGAGTGACACCCATGGTGAAACTTCCCAGACTTTGGGACACATACCTACTTCAGATTATTTTATAATCATCCCTTAGACCCAGGAGAGTGAGAGGCAGTGACCCTTGAAGGGACCACAAGCCAAGTGGACACCAGAAACTGAAAAAAGACCAGGCAACAGAATCTTCCCACTGAAGGAACCGGTCCTGCTGAGACCTTGTCTTTAACCCAGTGAGACTGATTTGAGATTTCTGACCTCCAGAACTATAAAAT